AGACAAGAGTCTCAAGCTGTCGCCCTGGGTAGAGTGCCAGTGGTATCATAGCTTACAGCAACCTCCAACTCTTGGGCTTAGGCGATTCTCTTGCCTCACCCTCCCAAGTACCTGGGACTACAGGCACCTGCCACAATGCTGGGCTATTTTGTTGTTGTTGTTGCTGTTGTTATTGTCGCTGTTGTTATTGTCATTGTTGTTCAGCAGGCCCAGGCTAGGTTCAAACTCACCAGCCTTGGTGTAGGTGGTTGGCACCCTATCCACTGAGCTACGGGTGCCGCCTGAAGTTAATATTCATACAGCTTTCTTGCTCCTTTTAACTGGTTGCATAGTATTTCATAGCATGGATGTGCCACCACTAATCCAGGGCCCTAAGGCAGGACATGTGGGTTGGGTCCAATGCTTTGCCATCATCTGCATTATCTTGAAATAAATATCTGTCAATGTACTTCACCCTGTAAGTGTGGCTAAATCTCTACAAGAGGCACCGCTGGCTAACCCAGCCTGTATATTTGATTTGGAGAGCTATGAGAGGTTGTCCCCGTAAGCTTGCCAGAAGGGTGCTGTTGACTCTCTGGACCGCTCACGGTATTTGTGGACTATACTAACGCGCCTCCCCAGGAGGTTCCAGGAACTGCAGCTACATTCAACCAGTTTGGAACAGACTGGACACCAGCCTCTACTAGCCCGAATTAAATCCCAAAGTCTGCGACAGATCTGTGAATCCTCCAAATTCACCCAGGGGGATCCAGGAACCCTTTCTTACATCAACTTCTCTTCAATCTAGCAATTACTTTTATGAGTCACTTACTTAGATGGACTCTAAAATAAATTTAAATACATTTTATTTAAAAGATAATTTTATAAGCTGGGTGTGGTGGTTCATGCCTGTAACTCTAACACTCTGGGAGACAGAGACAGGAGAATGCCCTGAGCTCAGGAGTTCTAGGCCAGCCTGAGCAAGAGTGAGAACCTGCCTGTACTAAAATAAATAAATAAATACATAATAAATTAGCTTAGCTTTGTAGTGGGCACCTGTAGTCAGGATGGTGAGGCAAGGCAGGAGGATCGCTTGAACACAAGAGTTTGAGTTTGCTACAAGCTGGGCTGATGCTACTGCACTTTAGCCTGGACAACAGAGTGAGCCTTTCCTTGTCTCAAGGAAAAAAAAAAACTTTTAATCATAAACAGCAGACATAAATCATCCCAAGCCATCAAAAACAGCAATCACTTACATCTCTTGAACACAAGCATTCTCATTTAGTCCTCAAGACTTCTTCTTTTTTATATTTTTTAAAAGACAGAGTCTTACTTTATCGCCCTCGGTAGGGTGCTGTGGCGTCACACAGCTCACAGCAACATCCAACTCCTGGGTTTAGGCGATTCTCTTGCCTCAGCCTCCAGAGTAGCTGGGACGACTGGCAGTTCTGTGGGGCTGGGTTTGAACCCACCACCCTGGGTATAAGGGGCCGGCGCCTTACCCACAGAGCCAGAGGCACCGCCAGTCCTCATGATTTTATCAACAGCCTACAGAGAGGAAACTGAAGCATACAGAATTTTTTTTTTTTAGACAGTTTCACTCTGCCACTCTTGGTGGAGTGCTGTGGCGTCATCATAGCTCACAGTAACCTCAACTCTTGGGCTCAAGCGATCCTACTGCCTCAGCCTCCCGCATAAATGGGACTACAGGCACCTGCCGCGGTGTCAAGCTCGTTTTTTTCTATTTTTAGTAGAAACGAGGTCTCACACTTGCTCAGGCTGGTCTGGAACTCCTGAACTCAAGCAATCTGTCCGTCTCAGCCTCCCAGACTTCTAGGGTTATAGGCGTGAACCAGGATGCCCAGCCTAGCACAAAGAAATTGTAAGTAATGGCCCACAGGCCCAGACCTAGCAAGCAGCAGATCTGGGGTACGAATGCCACCAAGGGAGCGCCATGAGCATCTTCATTGAAGGTAAATAAAAGATAAAAACAAAACCTCCCAATTAGGTAGAAAATTCTCTGTGCCGTGCAGAGATAAAGGAAGAAGCGCAGATAGTGGAGTACACCCTAGGCGGATGGACGGTACAGTGCGAACCGGCGCTTGGCTCTGCGCCCTCGCCCAACACTCCATCCTCACCAACGGGCGCCCAGCACCTGCGGGAAGGGCGGGGAATCGCTGCTCCTTCCCGGTTGAGCCTTCTCCGCCTTCTGTTTGTCTCCTTTTCGGGTGTCCGGAGGCTGTCTCCCATCCGACGACCGCGACCCCAGAGGTCACATCGCCCTGGAACCAAGACCTACCCCCAGCCCCCCGACGGCAGAAGCGCCCGCGGGTCCGGGACAGGGAAGGTTAGGCAGGAGCCGCCTGGAGAAGCAACTGCCCCTGGGCCTTCTAGGAAGAGCAGTGCGCAAGCGGCACCACTGTGTCTGGGTATCCCCACGCCCAAGGGCCCCTACGGGGCCACACGTGGGCCGAAGTGAGCGCGCGGACAGCAGTGGCCGGAAGGGGTGTCCACCCGATCCCAGGTGCGGGTCGGGACGTTCGGGCTTCTGATTCTTGGAGGCTCCCTCCACGCGGGCTGCTGCGCCCAGGGCGGTGGTCCTCCGCTCCCCTGCAATGGCGGGAGGCTGTGGTCTCCGCACTGGGGCTGCGCAGCTTGGCGACAGCAAGTGGGGGCGGGAGGGTTGGGAGAGGCCGGTCTGTAGTCCCGGCCGCCGGAGGCCAGGGGCCGCGGGGACTTTTATTCTGACACGGCCAGCGCCGGGCTCTGCTTAGTCACGGTGACCTGCACGCTCCGCGCCTCCCCCCACGCGCCGCGATGGAGGCGCTGGGGATTTGGTGGCGGAGGCGGAGCCGGAGCGCGGCCATGGCAGGGTGAGTGAGGCGGCCTGTGCCCGGGCTGCGGGCACGGCAGGCCGCGACCGCCCCTTATTTTCGTGACCCGGGACCCGGGAACGTGGCGCCATGACTTGGGGAGCTTCCAAGTTTTCCCCGCGGCTCTGCGGAGGGTCAAGAGGGGGCGGGCCGGGTCCGATCTTTTTGTTGGACAGAGCGACTCTCTGGGCGGCCCAGGAGAGACCGAAGCTGGGCGGAGAACCCAGGAAGAGCTGTTTAGACTGAAGCCCTGGGACATTGGGGAGTTGGGGGGCTTGGTCTCCCTCTGGGCCGCGGCAGGGTCACTTCCTCTCTTCTCCAGGCCTTGGTGGTGGCTCAGGCTGAGCATGCGCAGTCCTCCACTTGTCGCTGCTTGGCGGGGGTGCGGGGGGAGTGCCAGGTACCCAGAGGGCACCGTTGACCATTGGCCCACGACTAAGAGGCAAATTTAGGGGCTCGGCACGGGAGAGGTGGCCAAGCGGTGCCCCGTGACGGATGGAGAGGGCGCTCTGGCGGGCACAGTGGCGTGGGCAGGCAGCCAGCCACCCATTTGCACTGAGGGGTGGTGCCAGACCCCAGGAGCAACGCAGGAGACACACAAGAGAGGGTGGGCCCAACGTGGACCTACCTGGGGCTCCCTACTCTTTGAGTCGCTGGGGCTGGGGCGAAAGAGGGACGTCCGGACGATCCACTCCTTAACAAACAAGCAATTAAGCAAAGGAGATCGTTTCAGTTGCTGGCAGCGCTGTGATGGAAAATAAAACAGGGAGGAAGGGACCAGGAACTGAACCCCAGAAAAATGAGAGGTGAACGTGGGAAGCCTCCTGCAGATCTCTCACCTCTCACTTTCAAAACAAACCTCATTCTCTGGCCCTCTAGTCTCCAGGGCTTTCCTTGAAACATTTCTGTCCTCATTAGCTCTCACTGACTTTCCAGGTTGTCTATTTCATTCTGTCTCTGAGTTTTTGCGCTTGCTGTTTCCTCTGCCTGAAAAACTACCCTCTCCCCCCTGCCCTTGTATGTTCATCCTTGTTCAGCTCTAACCTCACTTTCTCAGAGAGGCCTCTTCTAGCTGATTTAAAGAAAAGAAGGTACCACATTGTCCCATTGTCACAGTACTATTGTAATTTTCCTCACTATCCTGATGTCTGCTCAGGTCTTGCTCATTTTATTTATGGTCCTTTTCTCCCCAGCTACCTGATCCAGGACGTCATGGTTTTTTTCTGTCTTGCTCACTGCTGTGTCCCCAGTGCCCAGATCAGTGCATGTGGTAGACACTCACTCAATAAAAGTTGGTGAGGTAAATGAAGGAATGAACTTAACATGCCCTGCGAAGGGAAAGCCTGCCAAATGGCTGGAACAGAGTGAGCAAAGGAAGGAGATGGGCAGGGGCTGTGTAGGGTCTTGGCTGCCATTGAGAAATCTGGTTTTACTTCTAGTATCAGGGGAGTTATTGGATCATTTAGAGCATCTCCCCTGCTCTCCCAGACATGATCTGAACTATGTTTTTGTTTGTTTGTTTGTTTTATCACTCTTGGTAGAGTGCTGTGGCATCACAGCTCACAGCAACCTCCAGCTCTTGGACTTAGGCGAGTCTCTTGCCTCAGTCTCCCAAGTAGCTGGGACTACAGGTGCCCGCCACAATGCCTGGCTATTTTTTGTTGCAGTTTGACTGGGGTCGGGTTCGAGCCTGTCACCCTTGGTACATGGGGCCCGTGCTCTACCCTTTGAGCCACAGGCACTGCCTGTGGGGGTTTGTGTGTGTGTGTTTTGTTTTGTTTTTGTTTTTTGAGTCAATGTCTCACTTTGTTGCCCAGGTATGATCATAACTCACTACAGCCTTGAACTCATGAGCTCAAGTGATCCTCCTGCCTCAGCCTCCCAAGTAGCTGGGACTACAGACATGTGCTACCATGCCTAGCTAATTTTACTTTCTTTCTTTCTTTCTTTTTTTTTTTTTTTTTTTTGGTAGAGACAGGATCTTGCTCTATTGCTCAGGCTGATCTTGAACTCTTGGCCTCAAGTGATTCTCCCAATCGTGCCCTTTGTTTTAAGACATGCCTTGGGCTGGTGAGGTCGGGGGAAGTTTGCAGATACAATGGACTCCACTTTACCTGGTTTGCTTGCTTGGGAAGAAAAAGTGAGCTAAGAGTTGCTTTATCTTACAAAATGAAGCCTAGCACATGCTAGCCCAACCCCAGGTTCTGCCCCCAGCCCTGTGCTCTCTCCTTTCCAGGCCCCTGAGTACCAGAGGTGGTGTTATTCCTTGTCATTTGGAATCCCATGCAGCCAGAACCCAGGCCTAGCGGGGCTGGGGCCCGCAGCCAATTCCTGCCCCTGAAGTCACAGTGCCCCAAGGGGGCAGGGGACACAGTGATGTACGCCTCCACTGAGTGTAAGGCTGAGGTGACACCCTCCCAGCATGGCAACCGCACCTTCAGCTACACCCTGGAGGATCATACCAAACAGGCCTTTGGTATCATGAATGAATTGAGGCTCAGCCAACAGCTGTGTGACGTCACCCTCCAGGTCAAGTATGAGGATGCACCAGCTGCCCAGTTCATGGCCCATAAGGTGGTACTGGCCTCATCCAGTCCTGTCTTCAAGGCTATGTTCACCAATGGGCTGCGGGAGCAGGGCATGGAGGTGGTGTCCATTGAGGGCATCCACCCCAAGGTTATGGAGCGCCTCATCGAGTTTGCCTACACAGCCTCCATCTCTATGGGTGAGAAGTGTGTGCTCCATGTCATGAATGGGGCTGTCATGTACCAGATTGACAGTGTCGTCCGAGCCTGCAGCGACTTCCTGGTGCAGCAACTGGACCCCAGCAACGCAATTGGCATCGCCAACTTTGCAGAGCAGATTGGCTGTACTGAGCTGCACCAGCGAGCTCGAGAGTATATCTACATGCACTTCGGGGAGGTGAGCAAGAGAGGGTCTTGGGGCAGGTGTTTGGGGATAGTGTCGGGAGGATGGAAAAGGACCAGGGATGGACAAATGACAGGTAAAGGCCCAAGGCAAGGAGCTGGAGAAAAAATGTGAGGAGATTCAGGTTAACAACTGGTGAAAGTGACATCCTCCTGGGTCTCTGTGTTCCTGGGTTTCTCTAGGGCCAAAGGTGGGCACCGAGAGTAGTGAACATGACAGCTGCCAAACCCTGGGCTCTGCTGAGCAGCCCAGCCTTTCTGACAGTCAGCAAATACTTATTAGACACTCGTGACAGGCTTCAGTCTGATCATTAGTTGTGTATTCTTTGTTCCATGCAATGTCCTTACGCCTTTTAGTTTCATTTTTGTTTCTCAGTCGAGGAAGTTGTAAACAGAACATAGGAAAGTTCTTTAAGAAAAAGTCACAATGATCAGCCCTAATTCTTGGGTGGTAACAACTAGAGGTTGCACCTTTGAAGTGATAATAAGTGTTTTTGAGGACTTGCTGCAGCCCAGCCCCTGTTCTAAGTGACTCACATCCTTAAATCATTGACTATTCCTATTCTATGAGATGGTACTGAACTTTGGCCTATATAGGCTGGGCAGTGTTCCAGGCCCCAAGCTTTAGCAAGTTCCATGCTTTGGAGTACCTTACTGGAAAATGTGTTTCTTTAATTTTTTTTTTAGAGACAAGTCTCATTCTTTCACTCAGGTTGGAGTGCGATGGTGTGATCATAGCTCACTGTAGGCCTGAACCCCTGGGCTCATGTGATGCTTCTACCTCAGACTCCTGAGTAGCTGGAACTACAGGGTTACATCACTACATGGTTAATTTTTGTATTTTTTTGTAGAGGTGGGGTCTTGATATGTTGCCCAGGAGGGTCTCAAACTCCTGGCCTCAAAATCCTGTTTCAGCCTCTCAAACTGCTAGGATTATAGACATGAGCTAACATGCCCCTGCCCCCCTATTTTCTAAGTCCTCCTGTGCCTGGGACCAGGTGGAATAGATGCTATCCTGGTCCCCATTTCTCTTTGGGGTTGAATGTTCTCCTCTCCCCACTACAAATGAGGTTGAACAGATGCCCCAAGGCATGTTGGTATTAGTCCTAGGGCTGTGGCTTCCAGGAAAGCAGTCCCTGGGAAGGTCCCTAAAACTACCTACACAGTTTCTTTCTTGGGATTGTATAAGCTTAGGGTACCAGATCACCATTGTTTATATAGACAGGTGCATGACAAGAGATATGTCCATGGCCCTGTCTACCCTAGAAGTAGTCCTGCTACACAGTGGCCACTAATACAATATCCACTTTACAGAGAAGGAAAACCAAGACATGAAGCATTTCAAAGATTTTCCCAAAATCTCATAGCGAGGAAGTGGTAGAGTCAAAATTACAGCCCACACTCATTTCTTCAGCACGTGCACTTTTTAAAATTCCAGAATATTCTATTGCTACTGCTTCCCTTTTTTATTCAGTCTATCCTTTTGGAAATGATTTCATCTTTAAAAAAAAAAAATAGACCAAGAGCAGTGGCTCACACCTGTAATACCCGCCTTTTGGGAGGTTGATGGCAGAGGATCACTTAAGGCTAGTAGTTTGTTTGTTTGTTTATTTATTTATTTATTTATTTATTGTAGAGACAGAGTCTCACTTTATCGCCCTCAGTAGAGTGCCGTGGCATCACACAGCTCACAGCAACCTCCAACTCCTGGGCTTAGGCGATTCTCTTACCTCAGCCTCCCAAGGGGCCAGTAGTTTAAACCCAGCCTGAGTAACATAGTAAGGCCTTGTGTCTCTAAAAAATTTCAAATTAGCCACCTGTGGTGGTAAGTATGTATAGTCTCAGCTACTCCAGAAGCTGAGGTAGGAGGATCATGTTAGCCCAGGAGTTTGAGGTTGCTGAGCTACAATGACGCCACTTGCACTCCAGCCTGGGTTTCTGAGTGACACCTCATCTCTTTTTTTTAATTTATTTTTATTTTTATTTTTTGAGATAGAGTCTCACTTTGTCACCCTTGATAGAGTGTGGTGGTGTCATAGCTCACACTAACTTCAAACTCTTGGGCTCAAGCAATTCTCTTACCATAGCCTCCCAAGTAGATAGGACTACAGTCACCCCTCACAACGCCCGGCTATTTTTAGAGATGAGGTCTTGCTCTGGCTCAGGCTGGTCTCAAACCTGTGAGCTCAGGTAATCCACCCACCTCAGCCTCCCAGAGTGCTAGGATTACAGGTGTGACCCACCTCGCCTGGGCGAGATCTCATTTTTTTTTTTTTTTTTTGAGACAGAGCCTCAAGCTATCCCCCTGGGTAGAGTGCCATGGCATCACACTCACAGCAACCTCCAACTCCTGGGCTCAAGCGAGTCTCCTGCCTCAGCCTCCCAAGTAGCTGGGACTACAGGCGCCCGCCACAATGCCTGGCCATTTTTTGGTTGCAGCCATCATTGTTGTTTGGCGGGCCCGGGCTGGGGATTCGAACCTGCCACCTTAGGTGTATGTGGCTTGCGCCTTAGCCGCTTGAGCCACAGGCGCCGAGCTGAGATCTCATCTTTTAAAATAAAAACAAACAGGGCTGAGCATGGTGGCTCACACCTGTAATTCCAGGATTCAGGGAGGCTGAGGTAGGTGGATTGTCTGAGCTCAGCAGTTCAAGACCAGCCTGAGCAAGAGTGAGATCCTGTCTCTAAAAATAACTGGGCTTTGTGGCGGGTGCCTGTAGTCTCACCTACTTGGGAGGCTGAGGCAAGAGAATCACTTGAGTCCAAGAGTTTGAAGTTGCTATGAGCTATAATGCCATGACACTCAACCCCAGGGCAACTGAGTGAGACTCTGTCACATTAAAAAAAAAAAAAATTAAATCCTGGGAGCATAAAATGGTATAATAACAACAAAATAGGCAACATATTCTTAAAGTTCAAAACCCAAACGATACAAAAGTATACATAGTATATTGGGTCTTTGCCCATTTATAGGAGTGCCTGGCAATAGTATCAACTCATTTAATCCTCACAACTTATTTATCTATTTATTTTTATTTTTTAGAGACAGGGTCTCTCGTTCTGTCGCCTAGGCTGGAGTGCAGGGCGCGATCATAGCTCCCTGCAGCCTCGAACGCCTGGGCTCTCAAGCAATGCTCCTGCCTCAGCCTCCTGAGTAGCTGGGACTACAGGCGCCCAGCCACCACGCCCGGCTATTCCTCAAAATTTAAGAGGTTCACACTATTCGAACCCCCGTTTTGCAGATGATGACGCTGAGACCGTCAGAGGCACCTTGAGTAACCTGTCCAAGCCTGCTTGGTGAGGGGTGGGGGAGACACACAAGAGTCAGCCCGTCCCACTTCCGCCCCCTGCAGGTGGCCAAGCAAGAGGAGTTTTTCAACCTATCCCACTGCCAGCTAGTGACCCTCATCAGCCGGGATGACCTGAACGTGCGCTGCGAGTCTGAGGTCTTCCATGCGTGCATCAACTGGGTCAAGTATGACTGCGAACAGCGGCGCTTCTACATCCAGGCGCTGCTGCGGGCGGTTCGCTGCCACTCGCTGACGCCGCACTTCCTGCAGATGCAGCTGCAGAAGTGTGAGATCCTGAAGTCAGACTCTCGCTGCAAGGACTACCTGGTGAAGATCTTCCAGGAGCTAACCTTGCACAAGCCCACGCAGGTGATGCCATGCCGGGCACCCAAGGTGGGCCGGCTCATCTACACGGCAGGCGGCTACTTCCGCCAGTCCCTCAGCTATCTGGAAGCCTACAACCCCAGCGATGGCACTTGGCTCCGGCTGGCGGACCTACAGGTGCCGCGCAGTGGCCTGGCAGGCTGTGTGGTGGGTGGGCTATTGTATGCAGTGGGCGGCCGCAACAACTCTCCTGACGGCAACACCGACTCCAGCGCCCTGGACTGCTACAATCCTATGACCAACCAGTGGTCCCCCTGCGCCCCCATGAGCGTACCACGCAACCGCATTGGGGTTGGCGTCATTGATGGGCACATCTATGCAGTAGGCGGCTCCCATGGCTGCATCCACCACAACAGCGTGGAGAGGTGAGTGGCTGGGCCTGGAAGGGTGAATTTCAAGCATCTTGCTACTGACAGGTCGATAGCCACTGGGATCTGGAAATTTTTGTTGTTGAGTGTGAGTCTCTGCTTCCTTCTATCAGGAAGTAGAGTTCTCAAGGTGAAGCTACATTTCTGGGATACTTATGGTCAGTGATCTTGGATGATGTGCCTGGCACTGTTAATTGGTTACAGGATGGTCATAAACCCGTACAGTGTGTGCAGATTTGGAAACCAATTCCATAAGTTTGAAATTGTTGGACTGCATACAGCCTGTAATCCCCGCGGGCACTTTGGGAGGGCAAGGTGGGAGGATCACTTGCAGCCAGTAGTTTAAGACCAGGCTGGGCAATATGGTGAGACCCCCATCTCTACACACACACACACACACACACACACACACACACAAAATTAGGTAGGTGTGGTGGTGCATGCTCCTAGTCCCAGCTACTTGAAAGACTGATGCAGGAGGATCATGTGAACCAAGAAATTCAAGGTACAGTGATCTATTTAAAATTGTTCTGTTAGTCCCATTTGAACATAACATTTCACTGCCATCTGTCTCAAATTTGTAGTAAATAAATTCTTCAGTGTAGAAGGTGTTCTTTTAGATGTGCTGTACATAACTTACACAACTGTTCATGGTGACCTTGCATTTAGAAGCTGAGGTTTTTAGGTTTCCACCCTTACCTCATCTAGTCCTCCACCATCCCCTCCTCCTGGAAGTGTGGTATAGGATACAGTTGTCATCTGCAGAGCTTAACACAAGGCAGACTCCCTCACCTACTGCTGGAGATGCCAGAAATCTGGAGTTGGTGGTTTGGAGCCAGCTTGAAGAATGAGAATTTTATTTTATTTATTTAGTTTAATTTTTTTTTTTTTTTGAGACAGAGTCTCAGTATGTCACCCTTGGTAGAGTGCCGTGGTGTCACATCTCACAGCAACCTCAAACTCCTGGGCTCAAGTGATTCTCTCGCCTCATCCTCCCAAGTAGCTGGGACTGCAGGCACCCACCACAATGCCTGGCTATTTTCTTGCTGTAGTTGTCATTGTTGTTTGGCAGGCCCAGGCTGGATTTGAACCTGCTAGCTCCTGTGCATGTAGCTGCTGAGCTACAGGCACCGAGC